ACCAGTTTTATTCTCCCACCTGTTTTACCTGTGTTGTTTTCCTACCTGTTTTACCTGTGTTGTTCTCCCACTTGTTTACCTGTGTTGTTCTCCCACCTGTTTACCTGTATTCTGTCACATTGCTTGTCTATTTCAATATATTATACATATCGTTTTCATCAGTATTGACAAAGATTTATATAGTATTTTAGAATGAAATCTTGATGGTTCGTATGCCTACGTTCGGAGAAAAAGGAATATTGCAAATATTTGGAATAAGTAAGTCAAACTCACGTGAGAAAATCATTTGGTCATCACTCAAAATTTTCTTTTTTTCCCTCCTAAAACATAATCAGTTGTTGTCTCATACTATTCTATACTAACACAAAGTCTCACACTAAATTTGTGAGTAAGATCAATATTCCGACAGTTAATAGCACAACTATCATGACATATTGTTTACACTATATTTTGAAATAAATACATGAAACAATGAATGATATATTCATAAGAAATATAATTCCACCTGCTCTGTGTAATATATTATTTAAGGGATTCCGTGACACGATTCCGTGACCTGCTTGAAGTGAAATATACATTTATTTTTTCTGAATCTGGTCGATATTGTATCAACTATATATTGTCATTTTATCTGTATGAGATACAATGATTACTATAATACAGTATTGTCCTATATAATCTATTGTTTTATCTAATGCATTTTTTACTCAAATTATACAAAGAAATTTTCTCTCGTAATATCAGATTATTACAGAGGTGCATCTGACAGGTAGTTGTCTGCCCTTGATTTCAAGAGTAAGTTTACATATAGCAGCGCATGCCTTTACAAACAAAATTTTCATTTTAAAAATATGACAATTTAACTTTCTATCATAAATCACTTAAGACAAAGTTAACAACGACAGAATCACACTGACCAATTAGATATTACTTTACACAAAGTTAATGATGTCAGAATTACACTGACCAGTCAGATGTCACTTGAGACAGAGTTAATGACGTCAGAATCACACTGATCAGTCAGATATCACTTTAGACTAAATTAACGACGACAGAATCACACTGACCAATCAGATATCACTTTAGACAAAATTAATGACGTCAGAATCACACTGACCAATCATATATTAATAAAGCTATTCCATGTTGTAGAATTTATTTTCCTCAATACAAACCAGCAGAAGATTTTTCTGCCTGCGACAAAACAATACATCTATGTCGTGAAAGCACAATGAATAAATATCACGTTATTTATATAACATATTGGTGAGACTTGTAATTAATATATACCTGTACAATATGGCGGCCTACAGGTAAGTAATATCTAGTTAAACATCCGAAACAGAAAAAAACTTTTGGACCCACTAGAATTCTCGAAAATCATGATATATCCTCTTTTAAACAGCACAATGCGAGTAGAAAGCTCTCTCGACGCCAACCAAATTTTCAATAGTGATGTAACCTATAAAATCGCTAAAACGAGGAGCTATACAAATGATATCCCGGAAGTTTTATATTTCATTTCACGACTTTAGCAAAAACAAATCGAAGACAGTTTGGATATATATACTAACGGAAAAAAGAAACTGTGCACCGGAGAAACGTTTATAAAATCTATAATTCTTATAATATTAGGTTAAAAGTTTGCATGTTGGTTTATTGATTTCATTACAACAAAATCAATATGGATTTTCAAATTGATTTGAGTAACAATTCATTTTACAGGGGTTCAAATCCTTATGGGGTCGAAACCGAGATCTCAATGTTAATATCGAGTGTGTCCACCGTTTGCGTCAATGCAAGCTTGGCAACGACGTCTCATGGAGCGAACTAATGTGCCGAAGAAGTGTTGGGGAATATTGTTCCACACTCTGATCAAGTCTTGGCTGAGTTGATTTAACGTCATTGGCTGATTAGGCAGCTGACTTAGACGACGTTCCATCTCGTCCCACACATGCTCGATTGGTGCCAAATCTGGCGAGACGGCTGGCCATGGAAGAACATTGATGTTCTGTCGGTTTAAGTAGTCGGTAACAACATGCAACATGCGGACGAGCATTGTCTTGCTGTAACGTCACTTGACGTTGTTGGGCACGTATGAAGGGCAAAACATGTTGTCGAATGATGGCATCTCTGTATTGAATCCCGGTCAAATTACCTTGGACTAACACAAGAGGAGTTCTGCGATGGGTAGTGATCCCTCCCCAGACCATAACACTGCCACCACCAGAAGAACGCCGTTCTACGACACAGGCATCTTGGAATCGTTCTCCAACACGGCGATACACTCTGTCACGGCCGTCACTGCTGTCTAAGTGAAATCTCGACTCGTCCGTGAATAAAATACCCGTCCATTCACGTTGGGTGTATCGGATATGCCTACGGCACCACGCTAATCTTGCTTGGCGATGACGTTGCTGCAATACAGGACGTATGGCGGGGCGTTGCGGCCGGATTCCGTGTTCTCTCAATCGGTTACGGACGGTTCTTGGGTGGATATTTCTTAGTCCAGGAATGTTCCTAGACGTTAAACTGGCCGTTTGGAAACAATTCCTTAGATGCGTTAACCGTATGTAATTGTCCTGTTGATGTGACGTCACACGCGGACGTCCTGAACGCGGTCTATCCCGAGTGATTCCATATTGCCGATAACGTCTTGCTAAAGACTGTATGGTATTCCTATGGACATTGAAACGCTGTGCGATGTCATTTTGGGTCATTCCTGCCTCAAGCATGCCGATTATCCGCAAACGCTCATTTTCCGTCAACCGTGGCATTCTCAGAAATCGCTTTTTCTTGAAACTAGGATGTTTTTTGGTTCATATGGTACCCACAGAGGGATATTGACACAAAAATAACGATAGGTATTCACTGACACGTGTACTGCCTTCCAATTAGGTGTTGATCATATTGCCCGGGTAGGTCGCAAAATGCACGTGCGGTAGGTGACCTAATCACGTGATAGCGTGTGGTATGACACGATAAATATGCCCATGAAATTTTATTGAGAAACGTTCGGTAGTTTCCGAGATAATTAAATTTTAGCGATGCACAGTTTCTTTTTTTCCGTTAGTTATATTACCGAGGTAAATAGTTTCTAGTCGAGTATGTGATCCAAGTATCATTAGTAGGAGATGCTTTCTAATCGAGTATGTGATCTGAGTATCATTATACTCTTGATTTCTGTGTCAAAATAACTTTGTTACGTGATGACCGTCCCCTAAATCAAGTAGGTACATGTAGTGTGTACCTGTGGTATGTACCTGTAGTGTGTACCTGTAGTATGTACATTTAGTGTGTACCTGTGGTATGTACCTGCAGTGTGTACCTTTAATATGTACCTGTAGTGTGTACATCTAGTATATACCTGTGGTATGTACCTGTAGTGTGTACCTGTAGTGTGTGCCTGTGGTATGTACCTGTAGTGTGTACATGTAGTGGTTAAAGTAGTGTGTACCAGTAGTGTGTACATGTTGTGTATACTTGTAGTATGTACCTGTAGAATGTTCCTGTAGCGTATACCTCTAGTGTGTATATGTAGCATGTACCTGTAGTGTGTTCCTGTAGTATGTACCTGTAGTGTGTACCTATAGTGTCTACATGTAGTGTGTACCTGTAGTATATACCTGTAGTGTGTACCTGTAGCATGCACCTGTAGTGTGTACCAGTAGTGTGTTACTGTAGTGTGTACCTTTAGTATGTATCTGTAGTGTGTACCTGTGTTATGTACCTGAAATATGTCCCTGTAGTGCGTATCTGTAATATATACCTGTAGTGTGTACCTGTAGTATATACCTGTAGTATGTACCTAGAGTGTGTACCTGTAATATGTATCTGTAGTGTGTACCTGTAGTATGTACCTGTAGTGTGTATCTGTAGTATGTACCTGTAGTATGTACCTGTAGTATGTACCTTTAGTATGTACCTGTAGTGGGTACCTGTAGTATGCAACTGTAGTGGGTACCTGTAGTATATAACTGTAGTGCGTACTTGTAGTATGTATCTCTAGTGTGTACCTGTAGTATGCACCTGTAGTGTGTACCAGTAGCATGTACCTGTAGTGTGTACCTTTAGTATGTACCTGTAGTGGGTACCTGTAGTATGTAACTGTAGTGGGTACCTGTAGTATATAACTGTAGTGCGTACCTGTAGTATGTATCTCTAGTGTGTACCTGTAGTATGCACCTGTAGTGTGTACCAGTAGCATGTACCTGTAGTGTGTACCTGTAGTGGGTACCTATAGTGTGTACCTGTAGTATGTACCTGTAGTGTGTACCTGTAGTGGGTACCTGTAGTGTGTATAACACAATAAAACATATGGAGGTTTTATGACCAGCAGTATAAATACTTGTCGTGTTGGCCCAGTCACACTCTAACTACTTAATTTGTGTAATTAATTACACAAACAAATGCTTCACATTTTACAAAGACATTAAGAGGTCTTGACGATAGTACGAGCCGGTGTTAAAGGTAATGTTGATAATTGTGACTAGTGGTGTATATGATCTCAATCGGCACGATTGTACGGAATAATTGCCATATTCACACAATCAGATTATCTTATTATACACCGCGATAAAAGTGTGTCATTGTTTCGTTTAAAAAGAACCAATATGCCGGACGTCTTAGACAATTGAGCTGTATGGAACAGCCATGCCTTACTCAGTCACTGAATAAAAAAGTCACTCAGCTAGCCGTCAACGGGCCTTACCAGTCTACAACAGACAGCCAATGGAGTTAAACGTAGATCGAACAGCGTGTGTACCCGGCTGTATTATGTTTGTGTAACAATGGTTAGTTATAAGTAAGAACTGCACTATTTATTCGTCGGAACCCCGGAACAGTAGACTGTGTCAACAGTGCTGACTTACCCAATTGGAGATCTGTTAATTATAACGGGACATAACGGTCCCACATTTCGATGTACCTGTGGTCTGACAGATTTTCCAGTGACGCCTTCCTGCCCTTTTAAAACATTTCTTCATATATCAGGAGTCAACATGTATACCGGCGTCATGATATTGTTGGTGACGTTATTCACGTGCGAAGGTAAGTAAAGATCAAGGTAACAAGCACACCACTGCTAAATTACAAAAATTCCTAACACCTCCTTTTTCGTACTTGTAAATTTAACATACGTGTGTCCATTTACTATCAGAATGATGAAACACGTATAAAATTGAAACCTCCTAGGTTTTATAGAGAAGAGTATTTGTTAATTGACAGCGCGTGCTTATGACCTATATTCGTATCAAATACTTGTTGCATGCTGGATCAGATTTGCATCAAAATCATTCACGATTTCATAAAAAGAGGAGGATAGTGTTCAATACATGTTAAAGACGAATAAGAATACACGCGGAATGTGTCAGAGAGTACGCCTAGCTCTGTTGTTTAAAATCGACTATATGCACGCTAGATTTCTTTTTAATATAAACAAGCATGATGTTTGAATAACAATCTATGTCAGGACTCTGCATATGTTACCTGAAAACGTCAGCGAGCTGGAACATCTGTCACTGTTGAATCTCGGGTTAAATATACCGTACTCAATTAAGTTAGTGAATAAATGATATCATCGACCCAGTTATCGAGTGGATGTTGCACGTGACACGCGGACGTTGAGGATCCAGTACATTAGTCTCGATAACCCAATCTGTCTACCTCCCAGAGACCCTGCAACAATTGCCGAGAAATCGCATCAATTATTCAAGTTAGAGACTGAAGTCAAAAGGAGCTGTAGCAGGAATCCAACACATACGGACAAGTTAGTCGAACACCTGGGATACCTTTGATTTGCATTAAATTGTATGTTTTTCTCTAGAAAATTTTAAATTGTACCTATCAGGGTTCACAAATCGTAGTGCATTTTGTCATACGAGATCATGTTTCACACTCAGAAACAAACAGTTATGATAACGCTCACGTGCTTCAAATGGCAGACTACACGTAATTTCCCCGTATCTCACTCAGATAACACGTCATAATTCAACATTTATTTCTGACGAATAAAGTAGTACGTTTTGTTAAACATTGTACAATTCTTACCAAGTTATCTGATTTCACGATATAATAAAACTGACTTGGACGCAGACCTTACAGAATAGCAAGATGAGCTGTGTTAGTAGGAGTGTACTACACCTACACGCCCGTCAGTAGAGAACATCTTACTGTTACCAACAGACACCTGTATGTGCGTACAAATATTTGGACAGCAGAGCTATTGAAAACCTATCTATCATAATTTGCAAACTCTCCTTTTCATAAAAATCACATGTTTTGTGGCGTAAATAATGTGACAGCACAATGACATGTAAAACAGGACCCGCTAGGATGGTTTACATAAATACAAAGCTCGTTAGTGAGCCACACTATATCAGGTTTCGGTTTCGCTTCTACCTGTGTGACGTCAGACAAAGTACAGGTGCTAGTCAATATTGCAACGATGCTTACTGACTAATACAGCCCGTGGGTTTTTAGTGAATATAAATGGCATGTATACAAAACAATGAACCCTTCAATATTTCATGTCTACCCGTAAACACAGAGAGAATGGAGCAAACGTGTTTCACAAGTCACATGTATAACAACATGTAGCAATTTTTAAAATGTACCGATCTGACTTGAACGTTTCAATTCAAGTGTAAAAAACAGAGTGCAGGGAATATTCAAATAATATCAAACATTTAAATATAAAAAGATGATATTTCGTATTTAATGCTTTAAACGTTAGTTTGATTGTTTTAACTTTTAAAGTTGATCATACACTGACAGGTGAGTAAATGTTTCTGTGAGTTCCCGACTATCTACAGTGTGTCAGCCTCCTCTGGTAGTTCTAAGTTCATCACTGAATAGTCACCTGTTTGTCACCAAACGGTTTGTTGTTTCGGTGAAGGTGTCTGGGACTTTTTTCAAAATCGCAGAGATATTGCCAAACTGTGGCGAGAAACATCGGCATTACACAGGCACAGCTACCTTGGTGGATAAGCAGCATCTCTCTAACAGGCCTTCCCTTTGACCGCATACATACTATGATACCGGGTTGGTATTGAAGGAGAACATTCAGTAGCTGAGGCAGACCACTGACTTGTATCGGAATTTCATTTCATTTAATTTTCATTTTATTCTTACATACGAATGATAAAAAATGGATGTAAAATGGATTTACTAAACTTTGTTTCGTGACATTACAACACCTATAAAGACACCCCATTCTCTCCGATGTGCTCATTCTTGTCCTCCACACATTCCAAAAGTGTAGCTGCTTTAAACTTTCATTTCAAATGAAGACGACCGATTGGACTTAACACTCATATTACACGTGCTTTTTATTATTGCTTTGTCAGTTTTGTCGGAATTAAAACGAATATTATATATTATAACTACCAATAATCTATAAATAGCATGGTGTGAACGTTCTGTTTGTTCCATTCCTATTTAGCTAAATACATATATATATGTGTGTTTACAGGTTACAATTTTTATTAAAACATTTCATTTCCACCATTTTGTATTTATACGTGTGATTGTTGTACAGGTATTCAGGGAAATACTTTGTGTGCCGAGTTTGCCAAGGTTTCCACGGACGGTTCTGGCTTAATCCCAGGTAAGTCACCAGAACTGATTATGTAAGTGTCGAGTTAAGTGTTTTATTTGTCAAAAAGATACAAGAAGGATATTTAAGAAAATAATGAAAAAATATTGACAAAAACTTTCAGGAAGACATTGGAAATAAAAAAAAATATATCATTCGTTCATTTTAATTGATAGACATATACTACAATATTACAGATATAAATATATTCTAATGATTTATCCACCAATTAACTTATTTATTTTATCTTTATTAATTTATCTGGTAACACGAAAATTTATCTCGATGTTTATCTACTAAATTCTTCCTTGTTAATGTGATGATGGATGTGATGTGTTCTTCCTAGTCATTCCAAAAGGTAAATGCTATGTATTTTCTTTACGTAATTGTATTTCACGGGATAAAGGTGACAAGGTGGTAGTATTTTATTTGGTTTTGTTTCCGTTCAAACCAACGTCCACCTCTTTTTTCATGTGTTCGTTTCTACCTTCATCACCTCGGCAGCATGTTCACAATTTATAGAGTTTGGTTATGGGCTGAGTTTCACGGCATGTATCACGATTTCTAGTGCATGTTGCGCGAGTCGGTTCTAAGTCGCTCTTACTAGGCATGCTACCACAACGGATATTAAAAGAACACAAAACATTTTCACTGTAAATGGTTATGACATGTAAATATACCACGTGACACGTGTGTCAGGACGAAAGCAGAATCTATAAACTCCTTACCCACGTCTGCATCCATCCCCATGATTGTATTGATTGTATAAGAAAGCAGTAATGATGTAACTGATATCGTTCTGTACCTGCACACCAATATAATTATAACTGTCCTTTGTAATCTATCGATTTGTATAGGACTTTCAAAGACACCGAGGCGTTTTGACACAATATCATACAAAATGTCCATGTCAACATGAACGACCACATTATGGTGTCCGGACTAATGATGACCATATTATGGTGTCCGGACTAATGATGACCATATTATGGTGTCCGGACTAGTGATGACGGTATTATGGCGCCCGGACTAGTGATGACCATATTATGGTTTCCGGACTAGAGATGACCATATTATGGTGTCCGGACTGGTGATGACCACATTATGGTGTCCGGACTAGTGATGACCGTATTATGGTATCCGGACTAGTGATGACCACATTATAGTGTCCGGACTAGTGATGACCGTATTATGGTATCCGGACTAGTGATGACCACATTATAGTGTCCGGACTAGTGATGACCGTATTATGGTACCGTATTATGGTATCCGGACTAGAGATGACCATATTATGGTGTCCGGACTGGTGATGACCACATTATGGTGTCCGGACTAGTGATGACCGTTTTATGGTATCCAGTCTAGTGATGACCACATTATAGTGTCCGGACTAGTGATGACCGTATTATTGTGTCCAGACTAGTGATGACGATATTGTATTTTTCACAACCGTAGTTCTATACTCTAGAAATATAAGTATCAAAAGCATCTATTTTCGTTTCAATATCTAAAAAAATAGTTAAACAGGTCTCACGACTTGTGTGCCCGTGCCACCCGCATTCTTCTTTTCTGCCAGGAGATGCAGTTGACCATCGCAGTCAAGCATCTACCTGGCAGGCTGAACCTGTTGGCGGACACTCTCTCCAGGTGCCGCCAGCCGGTGTTGACGGAATGGCAGCTATGTCCCTTTATTTTCAAGGGTATTTTTCAGGTGTTGTACAGACCTCTTATAGACCTGTTTGCCACTTCCCTGAACAACCCTCGTCTCTCCGGTCCCAGATCCGAAGGCTTGGGCTGTGGACGCCCTTTCTCTGGACTGGGAAGGAATGTACGCATATGCATTCCCTCCCTTCAATCTGGTTGGCAGGGTGCTACAGAAGTTCCCGGAGCATCACTGCTCCTTACTTCTGATAGCCCCTCTGTGGCCGAGGCAACCTTGGTTTCCGGAGCTCTTGTCGTTTCTGGTGGAGGAGCCCCTGGCTCTTCTCACCAGTCCTAATCTCTTTCGCCAGCCTCAGTTAAGAACTGCACCGCCACCTTCACGCGTGGAAGCTATCTCTGGAAGCCACGCCAAGGCAGGCTTTTCTCGAGAGGTGTCAGATCACATCGCACGATCAATCAGGGCTTCCTCTCCTGCCGTCTACCAGTCATGTTGGAAGATCTTTTGTGACTGGTGTGTCGGCAGGGAGGCTGATCCGTTCGAAGCCTCTGTGCAGTTGATTGCGGATTTCCTACTCTTCCTGTCTAGGGACCGCAATCTGGCACCTGGCACTATCGCTGGCTATCGTACAGCTATTACCAGTGTCCTTGCTTTTTATGGCAGTAAAGATAGGTTCGCCCTCCTCTCTTTCTGCCCTAATCAGAAGCTTCGCTCTGGATAGACCGAGAGTTCGGCAGATGGCCCCACAGTGGAATCTGGCCCTGGTGCTAGATTCCCTGACTAGGGCTTCTTATGAGCCTCTGGAGTCTGCCTCGTTAAAGTTTGTAACTTTCAAGGCAGTCGTCCTTTTGGCCTCTGGATGTAGGAGGAGTGAAGTCCACGTCTTGTCGTCGCTCCCTTCTTGTCTACGTTGGTCCAGAGGCTAAGCTGCTGTAACTCTCCTAACTGATCCTTCCTTTTTAGCAAAGAATCAGGTTCCGGGGTTCTCGCCCGATCCCATCATGATCCCGGCTTTGACTAGTTCGGAGGAGCGAGATAGGTTGCTTTGTCCTTGTCGGGCTCTTAGGTTTTTATCGATAAAACCTGGAAAGTGGGCGGGGCTATCGATTCCGTCTGTTTCTGATCAAACAGGGACAACGAGATATTTCTTCCAGGTGGGTTTGCCAGGTGGGTTTGTCAGGTGGGTTTCCAGGTGGGTTTCCAGGTGGGTTTGCCAGGTGAGTATGCTTACATTCTGATGACCAGGCTTGGGCGAGAGTGAAAGTGCGGGCTCATGAGTTCAGGGCCCTCGCTGCGTCCTGGGCCCTTCTTAATGGGTCCTCCTTTCAGGGGGTCAAGTCAGCAGCATTATGGCGCGGCAGGGATACCTTTACAGATTTTTATCTGCGATCCCTAGCTTCCTACTCAGAAGGCCTGTATTCGTTGGGACCTCTGGTGGTGGATCAGTCAGTTTCTGTGCCTACTCGTTAGCCCCGGAGCATATCTTTCCGTACTCTTTGGCACTCTGTTCTCCCTCCCTACTACTTTGGCTGTGCTGGATGGGCTGCCTGGCTTTTAGTCACCACTACGGTAAGACGAATTCGCACACTAAAGTTATGGTAATTATTACGGAAATGAAATTGAGGGTTTTTCATGTAAAACCAATTTTCATGAGATAATACTTACCATAACTTTATGGAGTCCCACCCTATCCCCCCTCTTCCTTATCTGCGTGGCTGCCATTCTGTGGGGTGCTCCAGAAAGGTTATTAGAGGAAGGGAGATCGATCTATGTTCTTGCCGTGATGGCTCATTGATCGTAGGGAGGGCGGGATTATTTGAATCTTTTGTTGTTGGGATACAAAGATGGGTGTAGGTACCATATTTGCGTACTAAAGTTACGGTAAGTATTACCTCATGAAAATTGGTTTTACATGAGCAAACCTCAATTTTTTTTTTCGTCGTAATACCATCTATTGTTATATTGAGGCTTACTAAGGTTATGCCTCTATAGCGATTTACATAATCAGTAGTACCACCAGTATTATAACACCACGTGACCAACTTTCAGGAAAAATATTTTCAATGGAAACAAATCGAATAATCTTATAAAGAAACGGACAAAAAAGTTTTAAATTTACGACATATTCATTCATCCATCAGATTGTCTATACCCGGAAACTTATTAACTTTTAAGGGTTTAATAACCTTCGCGCTGTTTGCCTCTGTTATTTCCTTGTCTTTCCCAGGAAAAATACATTGATCAGGATTATGGTAATCTACAGTATTAGATATAGTGAGGACTCGCCAGTTTGGATAAAAATATCTGGTTTGTTACAAGCAGATGTATTTGTACAAATGTCCATGTGAATAATAAATATTTTATGACATCCTTTTTATTTAGTGGCGTCCATGTGCACCAACTCCGAGGTGTCGGGAAAGAAAGTGATCATCGATACCTACACTGCAGAGGGACAGACTAAACCTTCCACGTGTACCTGCACCGCCACTGTCAGTCTGGACACAGTGACGTCATCAGTCATCTCCATATCCCCTCACTTCGACCTGCAGCCTAACTACCCAACCTGTGGCAGTCTTCTGGTACTGACCCGTGGGAGTACGACAGTTAACCAGAGATGCTATATAAATGGTGCAATCGACGTCAGCAATGGAGATACACTCGACGTCACTTTCCATATGGAGACCGATCCTTACGACATCAGATACTGCATGGCCCTGTCGTTAGGTATGAATGTTTCACTTAATCATACAGCGATTTACCGGTTCTCTGACTTTCACCACAAAGAAAAATCTTATTTCTACATCTGTGATAATAATTCAAAACAATCAGATATTGATATTTAAAAGCACAATTTATTATTCTTTATAATGTTGCCAGTTTGACCTTATCAGTCAAAACAAGATGGGTTCATTAGGTAGAGTTTCCATAATAGATTGTTAAAACATATTTAAAATTTAAAAGTTCGGTGACATTAGTTTAAAGGAATCTTCATTTTAGGTGCAAATGGTCAAATCGCCATGAAATGCAATGATCCGTCTGGTAATTCAACGGGGAATACCGGCACCAGTACCACTGCAACAACAAAGGCACCCACCACCTCTAAAATAACAACACCAACGGAAACAACACAGCAACAAACAACCACAAATAAACAAACAACTGAACCGTCCATAACCACATCTACGACTTCCCAACCATTAACAACTACACAACCATTAACAACTACACAACCATTAACAACTACACAAGAATTATCGACAACAAAACCACCGACAACTTCTCAACCACCGACAACTACCAAACCATTAACGACAACAAAACCATCGACATATTCTCAACCATCAACAACTACCAAACCATTAACGACAACAAAACCACCGACAACTACTGAACAGTTTTCGACAACAAAGCCACCGACAACTTCTCAACCACCGACAACTACCAAACCATTAACGACAACAAAACCATCGACATATTCTCAACCAACAACAACTACCAAACCATTATCGACAACAAAACCACCGACAACTTCTAAACCACCGACAACTACCAAACCATTAACGACAACAAAACCATCGACATATTCTCAACCACCAACAACTACCAAACCATTAACGACAACAAAACCATCGACAACTTCTCAACCACCGACAACTACCAAACCATTAACGACAACAAAATCACCAACAACTTCTCAACCACCAACAACTACTGAAAAATTTACGACAGAAAAGCAATCTGCGACGACTACAGTACGAACAATCGAGTTTGATACAAGTTCGGAAATGATTACTTCCGATAGTCCAACATCCCCAGAACTAACAGTGACGTCACCAAGACAAACAGTGGCATCGCCGAAACAACAAGAAGACAGTGGAAAAAATTATAGAGGTAAGGAGCCTCTGATGAAAATGCAATTATATCTTGTAGAATCATATAAAACATTTCATGATCAAGTAGTTAATTTGCATTAATCAAATACACTTAATGTATAATAAATATTTGTTGCAGTGGAGGTGATCGTTCCCGTGGCTGTTGTGGCTGGAATCCTCTTCATCTTTGTCGTTATATGTATCATATGTGCGAGGTACGTGTGATTTTCTACCGACACATTTCCCAATATAAAACTAACACATGGCTAGTTTACTACCGATACATTCCCTGATGTAACACTGACATAGGACTAATTTACTTCCGACACATTCCCTGATATATCACTGACATAGAACTAATTTACTTCCGACACATTCCCTGGTATAACACTGACACAGGACTAATTGACTACCGACACATTCCCTGATATAACACTGACACAGGACTAATTTACTTCCGACACATTTCCTGATATCACATTGACACATGACTAATTTACTTGCGACACATTCCCTGGTATAACACTGACACAGGACTATTTGACTACCGACACATTCCCTGGTATAACACTGACACAGGACTAATTGACTACCGACACATCCCCTGATCTAACACTGACACATGGCTAATTTACTTCCGACACATTCCCTGATATAACACTGACACAGGACTAATTGACTTCCGACACATTCCCTGATATAACACTGACACAGGACTAATTGACTTCCGACACATTCCCTGATATAACACTGACACATGGCTAATTTACTTCCGACACATTCCCTGATATAACACTGACACAGGACTAATTGACTTCCGACACATTCCCTGATATAACACTGACACAGGACTGATTGACTTCCGACACATTTCCTGATATAACACTGACACATGGCTAATTTACTTCCGACACATTCCCTGATATAACACTGACACAGGACTAATTGACTACCGACACATTACCTGGTATAACACTGACACAGGACTAATTGACTATCGACACATTCCCTGATATAACACTGACACATGGCTAATTTACTTCTGACACATTCCCTGATATAACACTGACACAGGACTTATTTACTTCCGACACATTCCCTGATATAACACTGACACAGAACTAATTAACTTCCGACACATTCCCTAATATAACATTGACACATGACTAATTTACTTCCGACACATTCCCTGGTATAACACTGACACAGGACTAATTTACTTCCGACACATTCCCTGATATAACATTGACACATGACTAATTTACTTCCGACACATTCCCTGATATAACACTGACACAGGACTAATTGACTTCCGACACATTCCCTGATATAACACTGACACAGGACTAATTGACTTCCGACACATTTCCTGATATAACACTGACACATGGCTAATTTACTTCCGACACATTCCCTGATATAACACTGACACAGGACTAATTTACTTCCGACATATTCCCTGGTATAACACTGACACAGGACTAATTGACTACCGACACATTCCCTGGTATAACACTGACACAGGACTAATTAACTATCGACACATTCCCTGATATAACACTGACACAGGACTTATTTACTTCCGACACATTCCCTGATATAACACTGACACAGAACTAATTAACTTCCGACACATTCCCTAATATAACATTGACACATGACTAATTTACTTCCGACACATTCCCTGGTATAACACTGACACAGGACTAATTTACTTCCGACACATTCCCTGATATAACATTGACACATGACTAATTTACTTCCGACACATTCCCTGGTATAACACTGACACAGGACTAATTGACTACCGACACATTCCCTGGTATAACACTGACACAGGACTAATTGACTATCGACACATTCCCTGATATAACACTGACACATGGCTAATTTACTTCTGACACATTCCCTGATATAACACTGACACAGGACTAATTTACTTCCGACACATTCCCTGATATAACACTGACACAGGACTAATTTACTTCCGACACATTCCCTGATATAACACTGACACATGGCTAATTTACTTCCGACACATTCCCTGATATTACACTGACACAGGACTAATTTACTTCCGACACATTCCCTGATATAACACTGACATAGGACTAATTTACTTCCGACACATTCCCTGGTATAACACTGACACAGGACTAATTGACTTGCGACACATTTCCTGATATAACACTGATACATGACTAATTTACCTCCCACACATTCCCTGATATAACACTGACACAGAACTAATTTACTTCCGACACATTCCCTGATATAACACTGCCACAGGACTAATTGACTTCCGACACATTCCCTGATATAACAATGACATAGGGCTAATTTACTTCCAACACATTCCCTGATATAACACTGACACAGGACTAATTTATTTCGGACACATTCTCTGATATAACACTGACACATGGCTAATTTACTTCCGACACATTCCCTGATATAACACTGACACAGGACTAATTTACTTCCGACACATTCCCTGATATAACACTGATATAGGACTAATTTACTTCCGACACATCCCCTGATATAACACTGACACAGGACTAATTTACTTCCGACACATTCCCTGGTATAACAATGACATAGGACTAATTGACTTCCGACACATTCCCTGGTATAACACTGACACAGGACTAATTGACTTCCGACACATTCCCAGGTATAACACTGACACAGGACTAATTGACTACCGACACATTCCCTGATATAACACTGATGCATGACTAATTTACTTCCGACACATTCCCTGATATAACACTGACACAGGACTAATTGACTTCCGACACATTCCCTGATATAACAATGACATAGGGCTAATTTACTTCCAACACATTCCCTGATATAACACTGACACAAGACTAATTTACTACGGACACATTCTCTGATATAACACTGACACATGGCTAATTTACTTCCGACACATTCCCTGATATAACACTGACACAGGACTAATTTACTTCCGACACATCCCCTGATATAACACTGATATAGGACTAATTGACTTCCGACACATTCCCTGATATAACACTGACACAGGACTAATTTACTTCCGACACATTCCCTGGTATAACACTGACACAGGACTAATTGACTTCCGACACATTCCCTGGTATAACACTGACACAGGACTAATTGACTTCCGACACATTCCCTGGTATAACACTGACACAGGACTAATTGACTACCGACACATTCCCTGATATAACACTGACACAGGACTAATTTACTTCCGACACATTCCCTGATATAACACTGACACAGGACTAATTTACTTCCGACACATTCCCTGATATAACACTGACACATGACTAATTTACTTCCGACACAATCCCTGGTATAACACTGACACAGGACTAATTGACTTCTGACACATTCCCTGATATAACACTGACACATGACTAATTTACTTCCGACACATTCCCTGGTATAACACTGACACAGGACTAATTGACTTCCGACACATTCCCTGATATAACACTGACACATGACTAATTTACTTCCGACACATTCCCTGGTATAACACTGACACAGGACTAATTGACTAACGACACATTCCCTTACTTGATTTGTCATTTTTTGTTATTGAAAACACTACATAGTTATTGAAACAGGATTATTTAAATGTAGTTTTACGAGAAAGAATATCGAAACTCTTCATTATGACCTGTCAACACAAATTGAATGATTGCCTAAAATAACGTCCATATCAACACAAATCCTTACCTAGAACAACGTCCATGCCAAGAGAAGTTCAGAGGTTACTTATTTGGGTTATAAAGAACTCCAAAGTATATTTTAACCAATCTTGAACATGCTGTCCTGTAAAATATTCTCCACATTTTACACCACCATACTTCATTCTGAACTGTGTGAACGCCTTCGTTGTCATGAGAGCTTTCTTTTATAACAAGGTGAACGGCGGTACAAATATGTTTTTCAACTATACCGAAACTTGTGTTAAGAAAAATACGTCAAAATCATTGAAGAAATACACCGAAGAAGAGATTGTAAAGATGATATATTTTCTTGTTGATAATACCTCAGTCGTGTTTGGTGGTGAAATTTTCCATCAAACTTCTCAAATATTTCGGGAACCAACTGTGCCTCTCTAATGGCTGGCTTTTGCCTAACATAACAGACCTTATGAAATCCTCCAATTTGTCTTTAAGATATATCGATGATATCGTGTCTGTAATTCACAAGAAATTCACTTACTATATGTGCATTGTTTGTACACATCAGAGATGAAAATCAAGGACAAGACAAAAGCTTCTACAAATGAACATCGATCACTTTCAACAGGGACACCATGATGAGTGTAATGATTATAAATTTTCTGTTTCCGGAGTGCAGCATCCTATATTCCACACGATGGCAAATGTCACTGTGTTATAAGGTTGATGAATGCCACCGTGTTACAACGTTGATGCCACCGTGTTACAACGTTGATAAATGTCACCGTGTTACAACGTTGATGGATACCACCATGTATTAACAGTGATGAATGCCACCGTGTTATCACGCTGATGGATGCCACCCTGTTATAACATTGATAAATGCCAACGAGTTATAACGCTGATGGATGCCATCGTGTTAAAATATTGAAGGATGCCACCGTGTTAAAACGTTGATAAATGCCATCGTGTTATAACGCTGATGGATGCCATCGTGTTAAAATATTGAAGGATGCCACCGTGTTATAACGTTGATGAATGCCACTGTGTTATAACGCTGATAAATGCCACCGTGTTATAACGTCGTTGTTGCCATTACTAATTTAAATACGTACACACTCGTCTAGTCTGTTGCTTTTACCAATATATCACTCGGTCACAACGTTTTAATGTTTTATTTCAGGAGCAAAGTCCGAACTAACAACTATAAACTGTAAAACACCAGTATGGATTAACATCAGGTTGGACTGCATGTCGTCTTTGTATTGTAGAGTGTTGTCATATCACTGTTACCGACTTAAGTATACTTCACATAGACTAACGTTGAATAAGGACTATGACTTTTGTTTATAAAAGTCTAAAATTACTTTCATCCTTTAATAACATTATTGCACCACGATTTAGCCATATGTCTTGTTAATCGAGGCATTTTTATCTAAGATTGAGTCTTTTATAGCCTGAGATGGGCTCTTTACATCTAAGATAGGGGCGTTTAAAGCCCGAGTTGAGCTCTTTACATCTAAGATTGAGTCGTTTAAAGCCTTGGGTCGGGCTCTTTACATCTAAAATTGAGTCGTTAAAAGCTTGGGTCGGGGTCTTTACATCTAAAATTGAGTCGTTTAAAGCTTGGGTCGGGCTCTTTACATCTAAAATTGAGTCGTTAAAAGCTTGGGTCGGGCTCTTTACATCTAAAATTGAGTCGTTTAAAGCTTGGGTCGGGCTCTTTATATCTAAAATTGAGTCGTTTAAAGCTTGGATCAGACTCTTTACATCTAAAATTGAGTCGTTAAAAGCTTGGGTCGGGCTCTTTATATCTAAAATTGAGTCGTTTAAAGCTTGGGTCGGGCTCTTTACATCTAAAATTGAGTCGTTTAAAGCTTGGATCGGACTCTTTACATCTAAAATTGAGTCGTTAAAGCTTGGGTCGGGCTCTTTACATCTAAAATTGAGTCGTTTAAAGCTTGGGTCGGGCTCTTTATATCTAAAATTGAGTCGTTTAAAGCCTTGGGTCGGGCTCTTTACATCTATGATTAAGTCATTTAAAGCCTGGGTCGAGCTCGTTATATCTAAAATTGAGTCGTTTAAAGCCTGGGTCAAGCTATTTGTGTTTTTCGTAAAATATTAACAATATGATTACCCGTTATTGTCGGTTTAACAAACAGTTAATTAAACAGTTAGTGAATAGTGATGTCAGTGGTCACGAGGTTCGTCAGATTCCCTCTGACAGGGTGCTTCCTAGCTATAATACATCGATTTAATCTCAATATTGAGTTTTACTTTTAAGTTTAGACTTTTTTTCTTTGCTAATTGTACGTAGTCTCGTTGTTAGTCATATCCTTGTGACCATACACATGCATGTTTACATGTATTTGAACGTTTTATCAAGTCTACATCTTCACTTTTTTTCATTTTGATGAATTTGCGTATCCATGAATAGATAGGTGGTATTAGTTGGTAAAGTGATGACGCCAGAACTGTGTCACGTGTCATTGTGTACTTATTTTACCAACAAGAGAAATGGTTGTCATTTTCACCTTACACCTACATTTTAGAAATAATTTATGCAGCCGGGTTTTTTCTTCGTCAGTGACCCTATCCAAACAACATATACATTTTAAACTGATAATTATTCTATCAATATCCTTCACTGTATATATTGTATTTGTACTTCATATTTCCATCTTTCAGAAAACAAAACAAGGATGGGATTATTGTTGTATACATGGGTGTGCCACTGAAATTAAAACATCGTCTCGACTGTGTTTCCCTTGTGTATTGGTACAACATGACCATCCTCTGATATTTATAATTTTAACTTAAAACAAACCCAATAAAATACAGAATATTAACAGACTTATATCAAATTAGCATGGCTGGTGTCATTTTCCTCATTTAAGTTTCTCAATATAAAATCCTCTCTATCTATATATTGCTTTAGTATACAGTTTTTTTTTTAATTTTATTTTTCTCTTGCTATTTTCTGGGTTCGAAATTTTCTCCAGCTTGGAGTTTCATCGTAGAGTTTCTACTTTACAGAATGCTGATACTGTGTTTAACGTGACAAAACTTTCATGTTTTTAAGAGACATGCTATTGCCATTTGATGTCGGTGTTTAGTTTTATCATAATGTTGTTAGTTTTTTTTAAGATTGACCGACCCTAAGTGTGAAATATCGTGTGCATTGTTGACCCACTTTTACGTATTACAACGGGAAAATGCCGGTATAATTTACACGTCTACTTTGTCACCTGCCCTTTTGATCTACAGTAGACAAATATGGCATATTGTCTACTCTATTTGCCAATTGATATAAACTCACTATAATTTTGTTGTTTTCTGTCTTGCAGACACTTGAAACACCGCGTTTTTGTGGTTAACCGTGCGATACTACGTCGGGTGTCAGAGGACATGAATGCCAAAACCAAAAACGGGATACAGAACCCTACCTATAACGGAGACACCATACCGACATCCATGTCATCGCTAGACACAAATAACAAGTCTATGATGCAGGAGAATGACCCCTCGTGCGACACGGAGGAGGTTGTACTGAATTTTGGGGAGGAGGTCGCGGACGGGGACCAAGCCCTCACCTATTTATGATGTCACCAAATATAGTAACTTATATTGTACAGAAAAAAACTGACAGGAAACCGAATAATCAACTTAGGACAATTGTTGACGATATTTTCAAAAGAAATATGGCAGCTTTGATTTTGTTGTTGTTGAAAAGGACAAAGACTGAGTTTAGATTGGAAGAAATATTTTTTTGGTAGATTACTCACAGCTGTGTGACGTCAGTTTCCATTCCTCTATCAAGCGCTTGCGACACAATATATATCGCCATCTTTAAATGTCTTGTCATCGCAGGTGTCTTCGAAAATCTATTTATAGAAGGTGACGGTATTTTATCCGTCTCCATGTCAAGCCACTATAAATGAGGATTATTCATTCGTCTGCGAGTGTCAACCAACAGCAAGTGACGATATTTCAACCGTATGCGAGTGTCTATTGACAGCATGTGACGATATTTCAACCGTCTGTGAATGTCTATTGATAGCATGTGACGATATTTTAACCGTCTGTGAATGTCTATTGACAGCATGTGACGATATTTTAACCGTCTGTGAATGTCTATTGACAGCATGTGACGATATTTAAACCGTCTGCGAATGTCTATTGACAGCAGGTGACGATATTTCAACCGTCTGCGAATGTCTATTGACAGCAGGTGACGATATTTCAACCGTCTGCGAATGTCTATTGACAGCAGGTGACGATATTTCAACCGTCTGCGAATGTCTACCTACAGAAAGTGACGAATTTTCTTATGGCTTTGAATGTTAAGGTTAGCCATTTAATACATTGTGTATATAGATGCAAGATCATGAAGTCACCAATGAGATACAGTCGAGATAGAAACTCGCTAGATCTCAACAAGTTTTTTATACCGATGACGTATTCCGATACACCGGAACTAGATATAAGTGTGTACTTCCACATACACTGTGGATGATTATACAAATATATATATATATATATTGATAAGGTGCTTTTATCTTACTTCACTGAGCCATACCAAACATATCCGAATTTTGTCATGTTGTATGTTAAGGAGAAGGATTTTTACATGAATCAGAAATTATAAGTTTACATGGTAATCATCTTAGGTTATAAGGTAATTAGCATTTCTTGAATTTGGTATATCGTTTTTGTTAAATATGTGTGTGACGTCACAATATATTTTTATGCGTGAGATATGGAAGAAATGTATTCATTGGATAAAGTGTGTATCAAATGCCGGGTATTTATTTCATAAACAATTGTGTGAGTTATCCTATTTAGTGCATATCATCAACTGCTTTATGTTGGCGTGTTAAAATGCTGGTTTACGAGGTGTGGGATTGATATTAAGCGTGGTAGAAGGATGTCTCGTTAGGTGTAAGGTTGGGCTTTAATTTTCTTTACACATGTTGAACAAACAGACTGACAAGCATGCCATAGAAATAGTTTTCCGAGACTTTGACGCAAAAAAAGAAATATGATGTATATGCAACAAGGACTTATAATAGTCAAATGTAAAATCTGAGCTGTCAAAACGACACCGACAACAAATTCTGTTTATGGCAGTTCCCAGCTTTCCTATCATATGATTAGTTCCGGTATGATCCGTCAAACGCCGTCTAATTCCGACTAATGCCGACTAGGTCCGATTATTAGTGCAAGCAGTAGTTCCGACTAGTTCTTTCGTTCAAGTAATTTATCATCAATTCACAGTAAAAATAATATGGTATATTCTTATATGGTTGATCTAGTGATCAAGTAAACTGGAGTCACTGCCCCGGATATTCCCGGCAAAATAATCCTTAAGACCCGGTGTGTTAAGGATAATTTGTATGGAGACTATTCAGAACTCGATTGCCTCCTGTGTGTTTGTTATAAATTCTCTATATTTTGCATGATGTACATATTTCTTTAATAAATTATTTTGTAAATAGTGTTTTAAACATCAATAGATCCAAGAAATGTTATGAAGAAATATATCCGTCCATTGAAAGTTTATAAACAAATTTCTTTGTTGTTGTGTATCGACTTGTATTTATAATTGAGTTAGTCTACACGAGTTACCTCCCCTATTGTCTATCGTGTGAAGACACCGCAGTCGAGATTGAGGTTGAGGTTAGGGTTTCTTGTCGCGATTTACATTTATTCTCTCATTTATGTGATTTTTCGAAGAGAAGAAGAGAAGGGAATGGAAATTGTATAGATTTATCAGGTCCGTGTCAAAATAACAGATTGTATTTAATTATGAAAAAACAAAGGATAATAATAATAATAGACTTTATTTGAAGAGGATAATACATGTTTAGCCAAAGGTTAATCTACCACATGGTCCTCAAGTTAGTAAAATATTACATTCGTTAGTAAAACATGATATCACAATCAGATACTAAAATACATACAAAATTATGATAGTGAAATACATTATAACATATCATAGTAAATATTAATTAATATTATCACAGATAACACAAACACATATTTGTGCTAATTTGATTTGTCAATTAAATGGCTTTAAGCCGTATATACATATATGCTAACATAGCAAAAAGTAAAAAAAAAAATACCAGGATATACGCTAATATAGCAGAGATTAAATAAGGAAAATTTGCATTAAAATGAACAGTTAAGAATTCAAAAAGTAATGAACTAGTTGGTCTCTAAAAGAATTAAAATTTTGAATGTCTTTTAACAGACTGGGTAGACTATTCCAGTCCTGAGCACCAGATATAAAAATTGTTTTGAGTAAAATGTAGTTCTCTGCTTAGGAACAATAACATTATTTGCCACGGAGAACCTGGTACCTTCTGTGTTCATCATTAGCAAGTTTGATATTGTGACTTAAGTAATCTGGCACCAATCCATGAATACATTTGTAAAACATACATATTCTCTTGAATTTAAAATATTTTTCAATTGGAAGCCATTTTAAAGCAGAAAACATATCAGAGGAAGGTGTATCATATGGCACATCAAGTATAGTTGATAATATAAGATAATAAAAAACAATAGGAATGTATATAAGAGAATGGAACGAAAATCTCAAAACTTTCAGGAAATTTCACGGACAAAAGATTAAGTCATTAAAACTTGATCATTTTTATTACATTGAGCAATCTTGGGTATGGAAACGAAAAAAATAACACGGAACGAAATCTTTTGATACAACGGAAGAGGAGAAGTGTGGCACTTGAAGGGAAACCCTGATGATTAAGTCGTTTATATCTCAAGTGGTACTAGTAATCTGGTTTAGGTGTGATTGGCAAAAGTTAAAATTTATATATTTACATATATGTACAGGTTTTTACTTAGTGAAATGGAGGCTTTGAACGTGATAGGAGAAACCAGCTGAGTGTGTACAATAACCTTTTTCAATGTAGATTACGTTCTATGGACATACGACACTACAAAATGTTTTGGGATTTATCTGATACAAGTAAGCTTCAAAAACGTTGAAATATCTCTAAACGAAACCCCAATCAAGCAAATTTATATAGGAACAAAGATATACAATAAAAGTACAATATTTTTTACGTTTAAAACAAACCACTATTCCTTAAACATTTGTGTAAGAGAAGAATAGTAAAAGTAGATCACGATGAAAAAAATATCAATTTCTCCGGTCCGGAAAATTTACAAAATAAACTTATTCTTTAACGAAACTGAATAAGAGCTCTAAAATCTAAATAAAAAAATCCAATTTCAAGAAACCTGATAAAGGCTCTTAAAAATGGTAATGACGATAATATCACTTATCAGCATGATTCCATGACAATTGATGATTTTCTTATAATTGATAAAAATAAATTGATTGATATAAATAAACAAAATTGTAAAGCATTCCAAGATATTCTGTTTGGAAATGTACAAAAACAAAACAGATATAAAAGAGGTAAACCCGCTTTGATTCTGATATTATCGATCGGAAATATATTTGGAAATCAATTCAATATTCATTAGTAGACAGGAAATTTAAGGACATTCAACGGAGACTTTTACAAAGATTTATCAACACAGAACATAATTAATAAATCGAAATGACAATTTGACTTTTTTGTAAAACTAATGAAGAGACTTTACACTATGGCTCAGTGTTTGTCTGCACGCAGCATGATTTGTATCGTATAACTTGACATCCAACTGTCGACTGAGAGAAAATCAGACATCATGCTAGGATTGGTAGACCAAATTAGAAACAGTGATAAGATAACCTTATAACACGATATGGAAATAAAAAAGTACGGTAAAATTTCAAAATGCATCTCTAGATGAAAAATCAAACCTGCCTTAATTGAAATTGTAAACTCCGTTTATATCAGGACTGGAGACAAAATATATAAAAATTGTCACAACTGATACAGATGTTGAATGAAGTGATATGAAATGTTGCCATGGTAATGGTTTTGAGAACTGGATGTGCTGTTATGTTTTAAAACTGGTGAAAAAGCATTGTTACTTAATGAAAGTAAATTATTTAGCGAATGTGTAAGTGTCGTGTGTTTTAATGCTACAAAGTTGTACTGCTATATTACAATTAATGAAATTACAAATAACATTCATCACCATGACAACTAAGGACTGGACAGAAATATAACATAACATTTATCAACATGACAACTAGGGACTGGACAGAAATATAACATAACATTTATCACCATGACAACTAGGGACTGGACAGAAATATAACATAACATTTATCACCATGACAACTAGGGACTGGACAGAAATATAACATAACATTTATCACCATGACAACTAGGGACTGGACAGAAAAATCACATAACATTTATCACCTTGGCAACTAGGGACTGGACAGAAATATCACATAACATTTATCAAAATGACAACTAGGGACTGGGCAGGAAATCACATAACATTTATCACCATGACAACTAGGGACTGAACAGAAATATCACATAACATTTATCACCATGACAACTAGGGACTGGACAGAAATATCACATAGCATTTATCACCATGACAACTAAGGACTGGACAGAAATATCACATACAGATATAACATTAGATTCATTGGCAGTTGT